CGACTTACGAGCTTGCCGAGTTGGGACCGTGGTTTCCTTCTGGCTTTTCCCAACGATGCAGCATGCTGCTCGCTGCCGTTATCTTTCGCGACATCAGAATCTGCTCGTCTACAACCCTTGTCACCAAGAGAGTGATAGGTTAGGACATGGCTTATTGTTAGAACACGCTGAACGGTGAAGTCTCGTCGGAAAGTGACCCTCCCCAAAACATCTCTTCTTCTCCCTAGCGTAAGTTCCACGCCTTTGCGCCCTTGTTCTTGTTGTCGACGCCACTTATTCCGTTCCATGGGTCTTCTGCCGTAGCAATCACTTCATTGAGGTACTTGTTGATGACGTCCCTACTTTCTTCCCTTTTCTTTCGGACTCCTCTTGTACCGAAGTCCAACCCTTTCCTTATCGGGTGGTCCTCAAGCCTTCAGTATGCGACCGTACTATAGCAGTGGATGCTATCGTGCTTTCAGCTGGATAGGAGCCGTCTGTGTGACCGCTCTGACGTCCTCGTTTCTGACTCTGTCGAGTCGTGTCCAGCCGCAGGCCCATCTCAGCATCCTCATTTCAGCTGAGTGGAGCTGCCTTTCATGGTTCTTGCATATGGGCCAGCCTCGCTACCGTAGACCATCGCAGCTCTTACCTCTGCCCAGTACATCTTGCCTTTGAAAGTCTTGGAGTATCGCCGATCGCAAAAAATGCTAGTCGACTCCCTCCACTTATCCAAGCCGCACCTATTCGTTCGAGCCTTCACCGCTTGGTCCATGCTGCCATCAACTGCTGGATCGTTCGCTCCCCAGGTACTGGAAGTCCTCGACCCTTTCGATGCTCTCGCCATGGCGGTCTTGGGTTCGGTACACTCTTCGGAGCTCAGGAACTTGGTCTTCTTTACGTTCAGCCGGAGTCCATTCTCAGCGAGCACATCCTGCCACCTTGCACCTTGTCCTGAAGTTCTTCCCTGCTAGTCCGCTATCAGGGCAATGTCGTCAGCGTAGCTTATGGTTTTCAAGGGTCCCTCAATGAGTTCTTCTTGCTGTGACATCCGAAATTAGGACGGAAATAACGGATTCGAGGACCTCCCAAAGCCCATGGCGCGAAAAAGTGCTTCTCGTGATTTTGAAATCCTTGGGCGCTTCGTAACAGGACACATTTATCGGAATAGATATAATATTCAATAATCTTATCACTGGGGCACTCTCAATGAGCGCCATTCGAAACGTATGTCCGTCTTTGTTGGTAGTATTGTCTTCTTCATAGCCACCTGACTCTATCCTTTGACAGAAAAAGCGTGATACGAATGGATTTTGAGCGCTTATCGTGGCGTATACTTTGGGATCACAGGGCTGTCGAGAAATAAGTATATCACTTGTAAGTATAATCATTATCCATTCTATCATGTGCAATCAAACACTCAAACATTCCCATCACTTTTTCCGAGCGAGCGGTGGCAGCACTGCTAATGGGAAGCAAACGGCAGGTTCAGGCGATTAGGGGGAGACTGGCTTCGACGCGTTGGCGCCAGCCGTAAACCTGATCCCACAATAAATGGAAGCTTCGCATGAACTTACAAGGGAGGTCGTTCAGGGCGTGGTGCGCTTTTCGAAAACGGTTTTTTGCATATTGTAGGGGCTCATGCAAGGACCTGAAAAGTGTGCTTCATTTTCGCTGCGCGCTTCCAGGAAAGGTAAAAACGAGTGAAAAGAAATCTTTGGAATCTGCTTCGTTCTGGGCCTCTATGCGGCGTAGGGTCACTTGCAACTTTGACCAGTTGCTGAGTGGGGGTCCTTATAAAGGGGCCGTTTGAATCGAAGCGAAAAATCGCCGTAAGTGAGCTTCCAACTTGGGTCATGTGCTCAAGGGTGAACGGCTTCTTGCAATGGTTTCATCAACGATAAGAGCGCGAGCATAGCCGAGCACCGGATGGCCTAGCGGATAGAGTGGAGGTTTCGCAATCGGACAGTGGGGGTGGGGTTGATGGTTCGGCTCCCCTTGCGTCGTGGCTTTTTGCATTTTTTAGATTTCGCTGTTCTCGCTTCCATTTGTGTCTGCGCATGAATATAACTCGGATATTTGCCATTTATGGGCACATTCTGAGTAGCTATACCTCATGAGTCAGTGCTATTAAAGTATTTCGATTTTCACGCACCATTGAACAAGATTGTTGCTGGACGTTGTTCCTCATAGGCTATACAGTGGATCTGATTGCGAATTTAGTAACTTCTGGTGTGGTGTCAATTATAGACAATTTGGGGCCACCCAAATTTGGGATCTCCTTTCCACTAATTCGTTATGTACACCAATGTAGGGAACGTTCACCGCTATTCTGTCGCCAAATTGCGTGGACGCCAAGAATAGGTGTTATATTTGTGATCAGGGCCACTGATTACCACTAAAAACGAATTTTCAGTCAAAACAATTGTTTTGACCTTCTTGGGTTTGCTTATTGGGTTGTCCGGTGTCCGTAGCGTCAACGATACGCATCGCTGTTACGAAGATGTGAACTCCGCTCACACTGCCGACCAAATGGTCGGCCCAACAACCCGAAAAAGTCAAGAAAAATTTTTCGCTCAAAACTTGCTCCTAGGGGTAATCGACAGTCCTGATCACGATTCTAGACTTTATTTTCGGTTCCAGTGCCATCTGGCACCGGCATAGTGCCGAAGAGCTGAGTCTGTGCATACTAACGAATTCGAACGAAAAAGCAGTTTTGCTCCATAAAAGTAGGATTGTTCAGTTCATCGTGAATGTTTTATTAGGACCAATTATTTAGACAAACATGGATCCAAAAAATGAAAAATTGTAGAAAAGCAAAATTTTGTCCTCGGTGGGATCCGAACCATCGACCTATTTTTTACGTTTTTTTATTCGTAGAAGCGCGCAGCGAAAATGAACCTCAGTTTTCTGGTCCTCGTATGTGCCCCTACAATATGCACAAGACCATTTTGAAAAAGCTCACCACGCCCTGAACGACCTCCCTTGTTAGTGAGAGCGACCGACAATCAGGAGTCATTCCCAATCATTTGTGGGGGACGGATTGCGTGAGCTGCAGCTCAGTTGAATTCCCGGAGAGCGGAGATCCCGAGATCCCGCCTGGGAAGCCTAGAACCTTAGCTCTGCTCTCTTTGGTGTATCCTCGAAGTCACCACTAGTTACTGAATTCAGTATGTTCAACTAGTAACTCTTAGGAAGTCTACAAGCTCCATGTTTCACGGGCTAGAGCTCGTGAATAGAAAGATAGACTTAAATCCATATAACCCACGATCTGGATCCTTTTGTTTTCTCTTCCGATCCCGGAACCTTTGACTATCGAGCGCAGAGACGATTTAAGCTTGTCAATAATCAGAGTTTGTCAAAGCATCAGCACTCCGTTAGGAACCTCAACTATGCTCAAAGACAAGGAATGCAGCGAGATTATCGAAAAGGCGGCGAATCGGCACGGAGACCAGGCTACCTCTTCCCCGCTTGTCTGCACTCTCTCAACGAGACAGTATTCGAGGAGTTGGTAGACGCAAATGAGCAGAAGAGGGACGTGGCCTAGTCATACTCCCCAACTACTTTGGCAACGAAGAGACAGGCGATGGACCTCGAAGTTACTTCGGCTGCACAGCGAACTCACCCTGCCCGCCATCAAGAACCAGGACCAGATACGTTCAGCGCTAGAGAAAAATGAACTACACTTCACTGAGGTCATTCGAATGAATCACTGAGATCATTCGAATGAAGTTGTTCACTTGAGATAAGTCAGTTTTCATCCTCCTATCTAGACTTCGCAGAGATGCTTTTCGGTCTAGTGCCCGGCACAACGTTAGCAGAGCAGTCAGCAGGAGCCTTAACACAGCGCTCACCAGAATCCGCTGTAGTCAGTAGCCAGTCCGGACACCTCAACCAGGGCACGTTCCTGACGTTGGGAGCACTTCCGGAATACGACTTTCTCCCCAAAGTTGACCTGCCAGCCTCCATGTAGTGCCTTCCCGTTTTCACTACGGCAGACAACCAGAGTAATTTTGGTTATCCCGTACAATTAGGATACACGCACATTCTGCTGGACAGGATTTCTCAGCGAAAAAAAAACGATTTTCATGTTTTTCTGTGTTGGAGTGGGTCTACTGGAGACAATGGAGCAGGGGCAACGCTGAACGACAAATGGTCCTTGGTAACTTGGCATGGCATACCCTTGTG